ACCCCACACACCCCTCGAGATTTAATGATTTCACAATAAATTTGGCATAACAAATGTTTTGCTTTTAAAGGCACATTTAAGTTTGAAAACATATAAAATAGTTTTTAGCAACATAGGTATTCTAAGTCGCTAGGTCAAGATGGCCTAGTTACTATTTCAATCTTATACATGTACAGGCAACCATAAATCAATGAAGATTTTTTTTAATCTCATGTTAAATACTTCACAACCAATGTTTTACACTGTTTTGATATGAATCCACTTTATTTAAGTTCATCGCGCTTACAGATTAAAAAAACGATTATGACGTCACAACTACACTCAACTGCAGAATATCAAATATTTATCAAATGAGTCATATCCACGGGATAAATGGGTAAACATGGGATAAATAACAAAATTCACCTGAGAAAACACAAATATTCATGGATTTTGTATTATTACTAGGTTAATTTAATATGTATACCTAACATACACTCATTTTAGTGAAAGCATAAAAATAACTTTAAAAAAAACCTTGTTCTTTATTGGAAAATAAAAATTATCTTTGGAATATATAATAAGCTGATCTATGGCATATGATACCGCCTTACTGGTGATCTTTCCTGGTAAATAATTGGTTCCTTTTAATTATCCAAATGATTAACAAATTACTTAAAAAAAAAACTTTTGGCGCTAAGAAAAAAAATCACATGCATTCAACAGTGTTAAATTTTTATTTATAATGATATTATATATTTAATATCATTGAAAATCAATGAAATATTTAAAGTTTTTGTTGCTTTTTTTCTAATTAATGGTAAGCAATGGTAGACTTAACTTCCTTTCTGTTCAATTAATTTTTTTTCCTTTTTCTATCATTTTTCCTCATTGAATATTACACTGTAAAACAGTTTTTATGTTTAATCAAAAGATGCAAGTTGAAGCTTTATTTTTAAAAGAAATATTTCTCGTAGATAAGCGGGGGAAATGTTTTTATTTATTTCTATATCGAATATTTATCTTAAGTCTTGGTATTTTCTTCATAATAATTAACATTTATTTAACTGAATTGAAAAAATTCTTATTCAAAATGCATTTTCGAAAAGTGTTCATATTTATTTTCAGGGCAAAGTACAAGCACAAAGGAAAAAGATGATGCTTTAAATCCAGGTAAATTTAATTTTTACAAATTCCTCTCAGAATGATTTTTTTACATAACCGATTTAATGAAGGCGTGAATAATTGAATCGCTTTCTCCGCTGCATTTCATTTCCGAAAATACACATAGAATTTTCGACATTTTTTGTTTTCATTTCCAACATTTTTTGTTTTCATTTCCGACATTTTTTGTTTTCATTTCCGACATCATTTTGTTTTCATTTCCGGAAATTACCTGTGCGGCAATTCAATGTTTTCTAAGTAAGTAAAAATGTAATTTTAAAAGTACCGGGGTATTTATTACAAAATATTGATAAAAATAAAAAAAAATTTACACACATATATTCATACATGTTGCACTAAGTCTTGGTTCAGTGAGTATAAACTTTTTCACCACAACTAATGTGCACTAAATATAATATCAGTGACAGCACCACATTTATTTCTGAGTCATTGGTAGATTTACAAAAATCAAATATTGGATTTCAATGATTTATATATGATTTTATCTTTAAATTTGAACTAAAAAAAATGTCGGAAATGAAAATCATAAAATGTCGGAAATGAAAAGACGATAATTACAAAAAATTCCGGAAATGAAATGCAGCCTAATGGAATACATCTTATATAATTGAATTGGTACTTCAAGGATGATGCCTAATTGTATAAATAAAAGGTAAATATAGATATCATGGAAAACAACGTCTTAGTTTCTTGGTTCCAATTTTTGGATGCTGTGTTTCTTTGAACAAAGAACTGATATAATATGTGGGTCCCCTGCAGGAACCGTGTAAAAACACATATAAATATGTAGAATTGCAATACATTTGCTCATAATGGAGTTTTATGAAGAGACTTACTTTTACAGTTGACGACTGACTTTTACAATTTAAACACATACAAACCCTATATACTAAAATGTAAAAGTCAGCTGTCGAATGTAAAAGTAAGTCTCTTCATAAAACTCCAATTTCAAGTATGACCAACATAACGAGTCCAATAAATTAAACACTTTGTCTAAGCATCGTTTCCTCCTCATATTTCAACAAATTTTATATATCTACATAGAGAATAATACAATCTAACTAGTGTTTCCAAATTGCACCTTGTATTTTCCCGTGATACCAATATCAGTCAGGGTTTTTTTTTTCCATATGTCAAAATACAAATATAGTATTTAATTTAACACTTGGCAGAAATTAATTTTTGTTGAAAATTTTAAATCGTTTTCATCTCCCCTTTCTTTTACCTTTGAGATATTTCAAAATACATTGAAAGATGTTCTCCATATATAAAAATACAGATATGGTAGTCGATTTTACATTATGAAGCTATATAATATTTTTTGAAAAATTTGAATCGTTTAAATCTCACTCTTCTTTTTACCTTTGAAAGATTTCAAAATACGTAGTATGATATTCTCTTTCTGTCATAATACATATATATATATATATATAGTGCATGTTTTAACATTTGGAAGCAATTCAATTTTTTTTGAAAAATTGAAATCGTTAAAATCTCAGTCTTTAGGACTTTAAGACATTTTAAAAAACGTTTTAAAAAGTCAAAATACAAATATAGCACTACATTTGGAAGCAAATTATTTTTCTTTTGAAAGTTTAAATCGTTTAAATCTCACTCTATTTGACCTCTTAAAGATTTCAAAACAAAATGTATGCTGTTCTCTATCTGACTAAATGCACATACCGTGCTTTATTAAAATCGTTTACATTTCACTCTTTTTGACCTTTGAAAGATTTTAAAACACGTAGTATGATATTCTCTATCTGTCAAAATACATATGTAGTGCTTGTTTAAACATTTGGAAGCAATTAAATTTTTTTGAAAAAAATTAAATCTTTCTCTATTTGACATTATGATAACATCAAAACTCACTGTTTGATGTCCTCGATCATTCAAACTACCAAACTACCTGAACAGTCTTTGTTATGACATATGGAAGCATTTTTTGAAAATTTTTAATCGATTAAATTTCACTCTATTTGACCTTTGAGGGATTTCAAAACACAAAAAATGCTGTTATCGATCTTTTAAAACACAGATTTAGTCCATATGTTTAAACAATTAGGATCCATTTATTTTTATTTTGAAAAAAATTAGATCAATAAATTTTACTCTATTTGACCTTTGTCAGATTTCTAAACACATGGTACGACGTTTTCAATCTTTCAAAATACATAAATAATCCTTGTTTCAAGTTTGGAAGCAATTAAAATATTGAAAAAATGAAAGTGTTTGAATTTCACTCTATTTGACTTTCGAGGAGAATTTTCAATTACAACGTTCTATACTTTTTTTTCAAATCAAAGGAAACATGTCAAAGATGGAGGAAATATTAAGATTATGAGTAATTTTATACGGGTATTTCATTTTTTACATTATTTACATCCAGTCATGAAATGGCTGATCAAAATTCTGCCCAATTTTAGTTCTATATCTTACACCATTGGTGAAGAGAATTAAAATAAATTGCAATGTAACAGTTTAGCATAAGAAGCTAATTATAAATAAGTACATAATTTTGAGGTAAAAAGTTTATTTGATTTTTTAAAAAAATCATAATATTTATCGTACTGAAAACAAAACTTGTATCAATTTTCTCTTGCAGCAGCTTCCACAATGTCATTAACAGAATCTACCACTTTCACTGAATCAACACCTGTAACAGAAGTTACCACCATAACGACAACAGGTGCGTATTAATAGACTCAACATAAGTATATAAAGTCCAATTATCAAGGTTAAAGGCCCCTATTCTTCAAAATAAAGATACTTGCAATGTTATCTTATATTATTTATTGCTATTTTCTTGAAATATTTCACCCTACATTCCTTTTAAATTAAAATGCAAATATTAGGAAATTTTTAAGGAATTGGATGATTTTTTGGGGAAATAAAATAGTTACAACGAACAAGGTGCAGTTTCAGTACAAACTAAGCCCCATATTTTTCTAAAATATGAAAATTATGTAAGAAATCAAAATTTATTCTTTCTGAATCAAAGGAGTTTCTTCCATTAAGAATGCACATTTTTTTTCTCATATAACCACCTTAATTCCTATTTTGACGTCATTGAATTGTGCATTTTCCCGCATTTTCTTAAAAGATGCAGTAGACATCAATTTTCAGTGGAATTTTCTTTCAGAAAACATACTCTGCCACCGTCACAGCGAAAGATTTTGAAATATGTGATTTTAATAGCAGTTCATATAATCTATCCAAAATATTAAAGTGTGCAACGGTGGCAGACACTATTTTCTAATGTCTCCATTTCACCAAGTACGATCTGGAAAAATCGCATGCAACAACGCGCGACCATGGTCGCACCTCTGTTTTTACGTAGTTGCCTGAAAAATCCGTGCGACCTAGACATTTATTTTCTCTCTGCGCTCTACGTTCGATGTTATCTCGTATAACTTTCGTTGTAAACGTTCTTGGTGCGTCCTACACGCTCTATGGACGCTCTTTGCACGCTCTACCTGCGCCTTTCCATCCGATCTTAACACGATCAAGGATCGTTGTGTTCGATCAGTCTACCATGTAGCATCGACCTCTCGACGACCTATCTTCGAAAGTGTGCGACCTCTGCCGACCAGTACTCGACTTTGGCCGATTTCGGCGCGTACGAGTTGCAATAAACACTCGATACGATTTAGATACGATACAAACGTTCTAGCCTCGATCTATACGCTCAATTCTAGTTCTTTTTTAACTACTTCTCGTCCGAGTTACGCCAAATTTGCCCTGGTCGTTCAGATTTACGTGCGACCTACTGCTATCGTATAAAAAGACCCAGTGATCAGTGGGCGATCATCAGTTTTGACCACCTTGAAAGGAGCATGGATCCTATCGCTTTACATCATGCAATGCTATTGCAACATCATGCCCTGAAACTACAGCAAGACTCTATGATCATGCTGATGATGTTGAGGTTGAGAAGAAAAAAATATACTAAAAAGAAATATTGGGTTGTTCCGTGGTTACGAGAACGTCAAAGAGATCATTATGGCCAGTATACCTCCCTCATGAAAGAAAGGCTTGGAGATGAAGCTTCCTATCGGAACTATCTGCGTATGCCACTGGAGATGTTCGACGAACTGTTGACCAGGGTTGGCCCCAGGATTGAAAAGATGGACACTTACTATAGAAGAGCCATAGAAGCAGGGGTGAAGTTGACCGTCACCTTAAGACAGCTTGCAACTGGCATAGATTACCCAAGCCTTTCTTATGACTTCAGAGTATCGCGCCATACGATAGCTACATTCATTCCACTTGTGTGTCAAGCTATTGTGGATGAGTACAAGAATGAAGTTATACCCTGTCCAACCTCAGCTGCCGAATGGAAGGCCATTGCTGATGAATTCGAGAGAAGATGGAATGTACCACATGCAATTGGGGCTCTAGATGGTAAGCACGTGGCCATCAGAAAACCAGCAAGTTCTAGATCTCTGTACTATAATTACAAGAAGTTTTGCTCCATCGTCTTTCTGGCTCTGGTGGATGCGAATACCAAATTCCTGTTGATCGATGTTGGTGGTTTGGGACACCAATCTGATGCTCAGATATTCAACGCCAGTGAGCTGCACGAATGCATTGTTGATGGTTCAGTTCATCTGCCAGCAGCTGAACCTATGACCAATGATGACGTTGATGTACCATTCTTTATCCTATGATGATGCTTTTGCCTTAAAACCCTACCTTATGAAGCCATACACTAGGAGAGGTTTAACCAAGGAAGAAACCATCTGTAATTACAGAATTTCCAGAGGAAGGCGCGTGGTTGAGAATGCGTTTGGAATCCTGTCCTCACGTTTCAGGTGTTTGCTGACAACTCTACAACAGAATCCAGACAACGGCAGATTAATTGCCTGCATAACATAATGAGAATGAGGTACCCAGCACTCCAGAATGCAGATATGGACATGGAAGATTAAGAACACAATATGATTCCTGGAGAATGGAGAAACTAAGGAGATCTGCAAGACTTGGCCTACCACTTGGGCCGTAATAGGGACAACGCCGAGGGGAAGAAAGTACGGGATTACATAAAGAACTACTTCAACAGTCCTGTTGGTTCTGTTCCATGGCAAGAGAAAATGGTGACCGCAAAACACAGTGTTTTCTGAGTGTTGTTGCTAATATGATATATCTCTAACTTTTAAACTTTTCATAACTATGTGTAATAAACAACAATTTGTAAATGATTTCATATATTTAATGTATGATTAGAGATTAAAATACAAACAAATCAAAAGGAAACGACCAATAAAATAAAATAGAATAAAATGAAATTCAGAAATAAAAAATGAAAGAACAATAAAACCAAACTGAAAACAAAAAACAAAACAAAATACACCACCCCCCCCCCCCCCAAACAAACACAGTAGCCAACAACAACAAAAACTCACCAAAACTTACAGAAAAAACTGGGGGAAAAGAAAGAAAAATATAGAAAAAAAAACCCATTGAAACCAACAACAAAAACCGACCAAAACTATCCGAAAAAATGGGGGGAAAGAAAGAAAAATATAGAAAGAAAAAACGCAACCGTAGCTTCCGAAAAATATTGCGTGATTGTACTTATACATGGCAAATTGATTTATAGTAAAATTAAACTTTAAAGAGGCGTTTAACAATACAATATCTGTGTTACAAACGTCAGCATTCATTAAAAATGTCCTCAGATACAGACAAAACAGGAAAGAATATCAAGATGCAAATATTCATAATCCATGGCAACTGATAATATAGCGAAATTAGGCTGCTTAGTTACTCAACAAATTACAATTACTAAGGTACAAACGATAACAGCCATTTTATCATCGTGTACTACATGTAATTGCTATCTCCCTGGCACATAGTCGACGAAAACTAGAACTGTTGCATCCAACTAAACATCAATAATTCATAGCAAATGTCAATATTGACAATATTGCAAATTAGGCTGAGGAGTCTTTTTCAGGGTTGTCATCAGTTCCTGTTGCAGATGGTCCTGGCCGAGTTATTCCCAATGAACTCAGATAACTGTCTGATAAACTAGGATCCCGGCTAGCAGATGGAGTCTGCAGAGTGTGGAATACTGGCGATGATGACTCTGGTGGGCAGCTGGAGGACCTGTAACCAGGGTAGTTCTGCTGTATTTACTCTGCATTCATGGAATTCCATACAGATACTCCTGGAGTTGTGTTTGGGTTCCATTGGCTGGGGAGAGGCTGCCCACCACAATCCGATTGCTGACACTGTTGCTGTCGGACCTGAGGTTGTTGTTGCTGCTGAACCCGAGACTGTTGCTGCTGCTTGATTTGAGGCTGTTGTTGTTGCTGAAGACGTCGAGATTCAACCTTTGCAGAATTGGTGCGGACAAAGACATCGCTAACCAGACTGTCGTAAACCGCCTCGGGCAGCTGAACTAGAACATTAGTAAACCATTGCCCAAAAGAGATCCGCTCGTTGACACCCGATGGCCGCAAGGTCCTCATAATCTCGTTGGATTGCTGGAGGAGGTCAGTGGTCCTGGTCGATTGGTCGTGGATCCTCGAGAGCAGATCATCCTGAGACATGTAAGCTGTGACCTTCTTCCTGTGCGGTCTGGCTGTACATGTAGGTTGGATCGAAGTCCCTGGAACTGGGTCGTTCAGGTTAGGCAAGGGACCAGGGAATTCATCAACTTCATTATCAAGGTCAAGAGGTTCCTCGGCAGATGCCTGACTGCCGGCTTCACCATCTGGTCTACTGGTTGCCTCGGTGTAACAGGTCTTGCTGCTATATATTCTCCTTCATAGAAACAGCATTGCGGCGGGACACCTCGATGTGGGCACATGATTTCAAAAACTCTGAGAATCCATCTGAAACACAAAAGGGAAACATATTTAAACAATACAAATGTAGTTTAGTATCATAATCATATCCTTTATATGCATTTTTGAGGGTTGTTTTGAATTGTTTTATTTGTTGTTATGCATCAGTAGCGGATCCAGAAATTTCGAGGGGGGGGGGGGGGGGGGGCACAACAATTTTGGATGCCAAATTGGGAATACTACTATTATAATTTGGTAATTTTTTTTTTGGCGAAAAGGTAGGGGGCCTTTACATCCGCCACTGTGCATGGTAATTATTTAATGACATAAGATGATAAATTTTAATCTGACAAACGTTTCACATTATCTGTAAAATACTTTAAAAGAGTACACATGTCGATATAATGGTATATAAATATTTGGAATTACAATTACAAATTAAGACAAATCCTTAGCAAATTTCCAAATTTAATTTTCATAGCTAAAGATTTATTTTTTAAACAAAACATCAGCGGTGTCACAAATCATAAAATATGGCGGAAGATGATATCACAATGGTACACGGATGTATTACGGAAATTTTAATAAGAAAAATCTTATATAAAACAACATATAATTTTAAATTCACCTATCTCTATCCGTGACTTTTGGAGCTCCTTGCCCAGATTTGGTCTTCTTGAGGCGTCCAAACATGGTTCTCATGGAGTGAAACCAGTTGCTTACATTATCAGCCGGCAGATCCATATTCGTAGCTACTGTACAGCAGGAAATTAACTCGCGGAAGTAATATTCGCTATATTCGCGGAAAAAGAAATTCCGCGAATTCAACATACAGTGAATAATTCTTTTAAAAATTTATCAGGATAAACTGAAATTTTATTATCATCTATGATTAGATGTAGAGTGCCATTATAATTATGAGAGCGTATACGAACACGTAGTTGTTGGTGTTTTGTAAAACTTGTAAATTGTTAAATTAATTTCTATGGCTAACGATAACGGTAGTTTTGCCATCTAGTGGACGTGTAATGTAATTATTTGATTAAACAAGCTTGTATAATTTCACCCGTACGTATCGTTCAGACATATAACCTTTAATCAAGGCACTTGCGAAGTAAACGGGGTTAAAACAAATATTAATTAATTTCAATAGAATAAATAAAAGTTCAAAAATTTGACTTATACTTGTTTTTTTATTTGGACTCTCTAAATGCGTTTCATTATTTTGACTTCAAAGCGGGATCAGTCCCGTGTTTCGTTATTATTAAATCTGGCTCAAAATTGACACAATATATAGACTTGCCTTTCCTGTCTGATATGCACGATTTACATGAACAGACTTTCGTAAGATACAGACGGAAAATAACAGTTCACACAATATATACCTAAAGAAAATGCTTGCAAGTACTGTTAAAAAATGTTTTTTTTTCCTTTCCGCGAATTCAAACGACCGCGATTTGCTGAAAATTGAACAAATCGCGATCTTTTCCGACCGCGATTTTAACCTGCTATACAGTATCTCCTGCCATGTCTGTCGCCTGAGATCTTTATTGAGCCACTGTCTGTTGGACTTATCATACAGATGAACGTTCTCCTGTATGAGGCCGACTAGCTGATCTTCCTGGTCTTCAGAAAGCCTAACATGTAGCCTCTGTTTTTTCGTTGCATTAGTAGTCTCCTCATGGTTATCCTCCGTTATTTCACCTGGGATCTCCTCGACTTCAGCCTCAATACCGGTGGGAGAATCCTGAGGGGATGGGTCCCTTGGTGGGGCAACTTTTCTTTTCCTGGGGCCAGCTGCAGCCTTGGTTTTTCCCGCCCTCACCATAATTAACTCAGACGTGTTCAAAAGCTAATCGTGTAATGATCATCGCATGAGCTTGCGCCCTATCTGCACGGTTTTCAGTAGGCGTGGCTTAATCGGATTAGGCGAAGGTAAGTCGCAACTTAAGTGAGAAATGATCTTTAGTGGTTGAACCTTAAACGCACATAGATCGCACCTCAATCCTCTGATCATAATCAAATCGTGTCCATTTCGCAAACAGTGAGGGCACTGGTCTAAGGAAAATCGGGAGCAGGTCGCACGAAGCGATTCTTGATCGCAGCGGATCTAGGCTACATCGCATGGATCGAGCGAGTGTTGAGAATTGATCGAGCAGCACGACCGTGTGCTCGATCAGTTTTCGCTCAAGAAGACTTAGCCTTGCTCATCCCCGCTCTAGCCTCAATTGCCCCTCGATCAATACGTCTTTTCCTCGACTGTATTCGCTGTTTCGACGCTCTCTTTGCGACTTTTAAGTCGAGGCTCAGTTTTTTGACATGTCAAAAAACTGAGCTGCGATCTATTTTTCAGGAAGACCATTCTTCGACTTTGAGCGACCACAGGAGACCAAGGCGTGACCACTTCGCGGTCAACCTTCGACTTCGTGCGATCTTCAGCGATCAAGCCACGCTCTTAGATCGCAACTCAGTCTTCCGGGAAGAATTTTTGGTGAAATGGCCCTATGGAACATTAGCACAGAGAATTAAATCATTTTGAAGCTTTTCTGCATTAAGGTCAATATCTAGTAAATAACTCTGGACTTTTTTTGGTGCTAGATTCATTATGACGTCATAATCAATTTCAACTTTATTTTTCCCGTACTTTATACGGCTTTAGCAGAATGGTGTAGAAAATGGGGTATTTTCATGGCATTCAATTTGAAATCAAATGAAAGTAAATCGGATACCTATATTGAATTTGATATTGATTTAAAGAAGAGGTCACGACAATAATAATTACCGTTTTCTGAAAGACTGTAGGCAATCTGGATACATTTCCTTTGTCGAATATGCAAAAAACTCCCATCTTCATGACTGGTTCTCTTAATTTTTCA